CCTGCCACCTTAGGTGTATGTGGCTGGCGCCTTAGCCACTTGAGCCACAGGCGCCGAGCCTGGATATCAGTTCTTGAGCATCATACCCAATGTTGCTCAGCAAATTAATGACAGATCAGGAAAAAAACTCATTTATGAGAGAAGAGGTATTGTGAAAAAGGATCTGAAATTTTAATTCCAATTGTTAGACATACCACCATCTAAAACAAAAGCTGAAATCATTAATTTGAGATTTAAACTATGCAAAATTAATTAGGTTTTCATGCTAAAATTATAGAAATATTTAGATTATAAAGTATTAAATGTTTTAGGTATTTGCAGCTCTAACTTTTCCTCTGAGAACTGCTATACCTGCATCCCATAAATTTGGTCTATTGTGTCTTCATTTTTATTTATCTCAAAGTACTTTCTAATTTCCTTTGTGATGTCTTCTTTGACTTGTTTAGGCAATGTTGTTTAATATTCACAAATTTATAAATATCACCTATTTCTTTCAATTATTGATCTTTAATCATATTCTACTATGATGAACTAACATACTTTAAGTGATTTAAAATCTTTTCAATTATTGTACCTTATTTCATGGTCTCCAAAATGGTCTACAAAGGAGAATGTTCCACACACACATGCAAAGAATGTGATTCTGCTATTGTTGATTAGAGTGCTCTGTAGATTTTTAAGTCTAGTTCACAATAAGAAGGCAGAAGTCTTTTGAGTCTTCTATTTCTTTTATAATCCTTTGTCTAGTTGTTCTATTGATTACTGAAAATAGGGTTGAGGAATTCAACTACATAGATTGGATTCTATCTTTCTGATACATTGACCATTTTATCATTACAAAACAACCACCTTTATGTGTAGGACATATATTGTTTAGAAGCCTATTTCTTTCTGAAACTAAGTCACCACTCTAGCTTTCTTTGTTGTTTCATGATATACTGCTTTTCATTCTTTTCCTTTTAAGCTATTTGCCTCTTTGAATCTGTAGTGTGTTGATGCCCACACTTTTGCCCCAAACTATTAGGAAAATACCCCTTGAGAAAGTGGCCGGCTTTTAGCAGGGAGAGACCCATCTGGGAGGGCTAATGCTGCCCTGGTATGTGTGCAGGTTTACTTCCCTCCTGCAGCCACCTGCTCTGTGTAGGCTGCCCTTTCCCTCTCTCCTGGGAGCCCTTCCCTCCCCACCAATGTGGGGACTGTGCTGAGACGGTTGTGCATGCGGCTGGCAGGGCAGGAGCTTCTGAAGCTGCTTGGCCTCCAGGCAGCCATCTGGGTCCCTGAGGCCTTCAGAGGCTCCTGATCCCTTCTGCATGGCTAGGCCTCAGTTTTTGGCCTTGGCCCCACACAGCTGCAGCCTGCCTCACCAGCCCTGCCACTGGCTCCCACACCAAGTGTGGCGCATAGCAGAGGCCACTCTGGTTCACTCTCACGGGATTCCAGATCCTCCTGGACTGGAACCCCCTGTGCCCAGACGGCCCAAGGAGACGTGCAAGTCTCCCTGCCTCTGAGTCATACTCCCCATATAATACACATCCTTATTTTTCCCTCAAAAATGTTGGGCCAAAAAATGTCCATTATACATGGCAAAATGTGATAGTTTATGTCTTTGTTTATTTTTTGAATTCAATCTGAAAACCTCTGGCTTTTGGATTGTCTAATCTATTCAAACTTAACTTTATTATTAATATAGTTACATTTACCTCTGCTATTTTACTTTTTTATTCTCTGTATGTATTATCTTTTGTCCCCAACTATTCCTTGGCTTGTGGCATGATAATGCTCATCTCTGCTTTTGTTTCCCATGGCCTTTTCCCCTGTATCTCTGTCTGTGTCCTCTCCTCTTCGATAAGGACATCAGTCCCTGGATTTAAGTCTCATAATACACTGTAATTTCAACTAATTATATCTGCAAAGACCCAGTGTTCAAATATATTCACTCAGAGCTTCCAGTAGACAAAAACTGTGGGGAGACACTACTCCACTCACTACACTAGTACCCCTGTATCTTCAAAAACTTGTTGGAACTGGTTTGTGCTTTTTTTACTTGTTTAATTACCTGGGTAAAGTTTTCTTGTAAAGTATATTTTTCCCTACTATACGAAGTCTCTGACATCACTCGAGAGGGAACAGTTTGGATACAGTCATTTTTGAATGGCAATTTTTCTACCAGGTGTGTCTGACTGTCTCTTACTAATCTCACCTAACTTAGGCTCCACTAATTCCAGGCACTATTGTTTTTAAAAACACAACGGGGGATAAATTGCTCCACAGTCTAATTTAATTACATTTGGCCCCCCTTTACAGGAATAATTTTGAGGCCAGTTTTTGAGAATTGTTCTGACCCCAGAATGGCTAGATTCTTACTTTGGTAAACCATGATTTGGCTTGTTGGTCTCATGGAACTACCAGTGTCCTGTTAATTGCTTATCACCAAAATACATACTGTTTTTGAGTGACCTTAGTCTTGAACTTTACTACACTCTGTTACAAATAAAGTAAGTTCTCTTAGGGAGATCTTCAAACTTCTCTGTTTTTTGTGTATGTTGCCTGCGTCTCCTCCTGCGCAAAATTTCTACAGCAGCTTTCTGGATAGGGCAGCTGTTTCTGTTCTTCTGAATTTGCTTCTAACAACATGGAGCCTTCCCCCATAAGTAGGCTGCAGTAACTGTGTATTCTCAGCCTACCATTCCTAGGGAACAGCCTCCCTATCAGTGGAAGTCATATGCAGGGAAAGTACCCCAATTTCTTATCAACATTAACCTGAAATTTAGTCTCTGCAACATGCAGCTGGATTGAATGAGATGTGTTGGCAGCTTATATGTCCACTGGCACACTGCAGCCCTGGCCTGGGAGTGGAGGGGAAAGAGATCCCTGCCTTACTGGACAAACCCACCTAGAGTTGTAGCTCCTATCATGCTAAGACAGAAATGGGGCGAGAGGAAGAGATTTGGGGTTCATGTTCTAAAGTCTCTGACTGTTCTTACTGAGATTTAACAGATGTTCTTTGAATAAAAAGAATAATTATTCTACTTGGGAGGCTGAGGCAAGAGAATCGCCTAAGCCCAAGGAGTTGGAAGTTGCTGTGAGCTGTGATGCGACAGCACTCTATTGTGGGTTAATAAGTGAAACTCTGTCTCAAAAAAAAAAAAATAATTATTTCTTTCTTTGCTGTATTCCCTTAGGAAAATTTCTAAATGCTTTAAGTGTTTTCTTTCTTCCTAAAATAAAATTTTACTATTTATTGTTATTTGGGGGGGTACGGAGTCTGTGGGCCTCTATACACTGTTATTCTGGAAGTGGTATCTTCATTTCTTCTGATCAGGATACCTGCACGTGATCTTTGCTTTTTTTCTTAGCACACATATAATTTCAAACGTTAGGAGGCAGAATTTTTGGGAAGAGTTGATTTGTTTTTGCTTTTTGGGACTTTGACATGTATCTTGAGTTCCTGAAACACTAACAGTCACAGACTATACTATTTACTACACATTGGGCACTTGTTCTAGAAATGCCCCAGGAATGAAACATCATCTCTTCTAATGTAACAACAAATATATGAAGTAGACAATTTCATCTCATTTTATAAACACTATAATTTAGACTAAAAGATTGAGTGACTTGCCTATGGTCAAATGGCTAAGCGGCCAGTCTTGAGGAACTCCCCTCTTCCAGGCAAAAACCTAATGTGTGATCCTTCAGCCTTGATCAGAGGCAATTACAAGCCCTGGAGATGTTGTGGGGGGAAAGCTGTGCCCTTCACAGCCCACTTGGTATACAATCCAGTTAGTGGATTGCAGTCTTTTGGAACAAGTTACAGTTAAGAACTCAAGATAGTGGCAGCAGAGCATTAAATCAACTCTTCTAAGAAAGCTCAGGATCTCGTGCAACTGCATAGATCACAAACCTGTGGAGCTGACCCTTGCTTTATGACATTAATTATTTCATATAAACACCTGAACTTTGCATATCTTTTCTTTTTATTTGAGACAGAGCCTTAGTTTATCACACTGGGTAGAGTGCCCTGGCATCATAGCTTGCAGAAACCTCAAACTCTTGGGCTTACTCTATCCTCTTGCCTCAGCCTCCTGAGAAGCTGGGACTACAGGCACCCACCACAGTCCCATTTTCCTTTTTTTTAGAGACAGGTTTCGTTCTTGCTCAGGCTGGTCTTGAACTCCTGAGCTCAAGCACTCCAACCCTCTCAGCCTTAGAGTGGTAGAATTACAGGAGAGAGCCCCGGCGTCTGGCCTAACATTTCATATCATTATGGGTTTGTGCAATAATTCTCTCTTCCAGTCCTTGTCATATTCATCTCCTCCAGTCAGCTTTTATTAATTAGACTTTTATAACAACTAGCTGCAGAATGTCACTCTGCTCTCTGTGCCTTCTGCACCCTTGAACATAGCTTTATTGTACCGTGAAGTTACCATATTGTATTGTGATTATTCATGTTTATCTTTTTTTAATTAACTTTTTAAGGGCAAGGATGAAGACTTTTACATCTAATTAACCAGAAGGTTTAGTCTGTTACCTAGCATATAATTGTGGAAGAAAGGAAGGGAAATAGGTGAAAGAAAAAAATCAATAAGCTTCTTTGCTCCCCTAAATCCACACTTTTAAATACAATCTGAGAATTTCAGTGTTTTTTCATAAGTGAAATTACACATAAGAAAACCCTGTGTTAGTCATCCAAGAAATGATATACCAGCAAAATTGTAAGGACTAATTATTATTAAAAGAATAACTTTTACCTGTTTAAATTACAAAATGTCACAGCTGGGAACTCCATCCTTTCCACATACTGAACCTCTATGGATGTGGTGATCGGCCACGTGAAGAAGTTGGCCAGCCGACTGTAGATCTGCCAGGACAGGAGTGAGACCGAGCCCAGGACGACCAGAAACCAGATGACCTTGCGAATCTTGCTCCTGTTCTGAACAATATTGTGCACCCCGTGGAAGGAGGTAGAGATGGCAAAGTCGTGGTCAAACCTCTTCCTGTCGGTGGTAGATGCCAGTTGTTTCCTTAAAAGGCAAAGCTTTATCTTTTCTAAGAGTCCTAGGGTTTTGCCCATAAAATAATTAAACAAACAAAGAAAATTTGTTAGGTACCATTAATGTAAAAAACACAGCTCACATATGTTTAAACATTTGTGTGTGATTCATAAGAGCTCAAAATTCATGTTTTGTTGAATAGTTTCTTCAGGAATCAAGAAGTATAAGTGTGGACTACACAAGCCTGTTGGGAATATAAGTAATACTCCTCAGGGAATACCTGTTGTTCATGCAAATTATTAGGGCAGTATATTATTAGGTTACTTCCAGCTTCGAAATCAACCCACCTTGTGAGTTGTTTGCAACAACTCATAAACACGTAGGATTTTGACTAAAACTGTACAAGAGCAATTTATGTAACCAAAGAATTGTAACATTCTGAAATTAAAAAAGAAAGCAAAAAAAAAAAAAGATTAAAAAGTTAGCTTTAATTTTTAAAATGCTGTTTCCCCTTTAGATGTGCTGATTCTTAGGATAGTCATTAGTGGGGCTAAAAGCAATCTGTTCTTCAATTAATCTTAATTGTCCTATGTTGTTATAATTTATGATGAATGAGACTCCTACACTTTATATGCTTTGTTGTACAACTATTTTGTTACCATCAGTTATTTAGTCAGAATGTTTAAAGTCAAAGTTGCATCGTTAGTTAAGTAATCTATTTTCTTCCTGTTTAGGAAATGAATTCATAACTTTGGAAATGAATTCATAACTTCAAGACTATCAATAATCAATTAAATAGTGTTTATTGATATTTATAAGAACCAGTGAAGGTTATTTTTTGTAACACAGAACATAATCAGATTTTTGTTTAAGTTTTTTTTTTTGGCCCATAAGAGAAGATGCAAAAACCCTCTGTCTGAGGGAAGGGTGCAATACAGGGAAAAGGCTGAGCCAGGCTTTTCAATGGTAGATGTAGCTCCCAGTCCAGGCCTTGTACCTTATAACCTGTTCAGCCTTAGACAAGTTTATTAATCTTATACCTCTTTTGTCAGATGGCAGCAATAGTATCTGCCTGGTAAGTTTGCTGCGAATATTCAGTATGATAATACCCGGCAAGGGTTTATCATAGGCACACTGTCTAGACCATGCTGTCTACTTAAGAGTGTTAGCTATTTTTATTTTGATACGAGTTTAGTTGTGATGCAGTAAACAGTAAAATATTGGGGGGATTTTAAAAACTCTTTAACATTCTCAATTAAGAAATGTGCTCTTATCGGCATCATAAATACTCATAATTAGTGGAGTTAAATTTTATGTCCTTTGTTTCTATTCTAAAGTATTATTTTATTTTTTTTTTTTTTGAGACAGGACCCAGAGTCCCCCTGGGTAGAGTGCTTTGGCATCACAGCTTCTAGCAACCTCCAACTTCTGGGCTCAAATGAGTCTCCTGCCTCAGCCTTCCAAGTATCTGGGATCATAGGCGCCTGCTACAACGCCCGGCTATTTTTTGGTTGCAGCCATCATTGTTGTTTTGGCGAGCCCAGGCTGGATTCAAATCTACCACCTTTAGGTGTATGTGGCTGGCGCCTTAGCCACTTGAGCCACAGTCGCTGAGCCTAAAGTATTATTTTTGTCAACTATCCAGCATTTATTTACTTTCAGAAGGCTTCAAACTCTATTTATCCTGAAATCATTAATACTTCATTTAATACTTCATAAATCTTCAATCAATTAGTTAAGCTTTTATTCAATTATGAGATATAATAATGCTTTATAAAAGGTATCTATCAATATTTTCTAAGGGAGTCTATTTAATTTGCAGTGTTTGGACATCATTATAAGGTGTTTTGGGGGGTTTTTTTTTGCAGTTTTTGGCCAGGGCTGGGTTTGAACCCGCCACCTCTGGCATATGGGGCTGGCACCCTACTCCTCTGAGCCACAGGCACCGCCCTGTAAGTTTTATTAAGACTATTTTACAGAGACTATATACTAAACAGGAAAGTTTGTATTAATACAATTACCTTGACATTGGACCAAAATATTATAATAGTACTCACCTAATGTTCTTTTTGGTATCAAATTAGGGAACATATGTAAAGTAACTGGTATAGTCTCAGAGCAAAATCAGAAGCATAAAAGGATTGTTATTATAGAAATAAATATAATTATGCTATTTTGTGCATTCTTCAGACATTACTACAGACACAAGTGATGAATTTCCTGTATACGAGGACAACCCAGTGTCACGGCTACTTTCACCCTCTCCACTGTAGGGATCAAAGGAACAAGAAGGGGAAGAGTAATCTGGTAACCAGCAACTGGTCAAGCAAAGTGTGCCTCGCTGCCGGAATTACCTTGAAAAATAAAAGTCTGAAGTTCACCTGTCAGTAATCTGCCCATTTAACATATATCTATTCCTTGGCAACTGGTTTGGACTTAATGGAGTATTCTCAGCCATTTGTTAAGCTTTTAATAGGGTTTTTTGAAAAAAAAATATTATTTAAGATGAATAGTGAAGAAACAAGGTAATGGATGACTGTGAAGAAGATTATATTGTTTCAATAAATGGCCCACCCATTTGCAAAGCTAAGACTTCTTACTTTCCTGACTGACATATATAATCTCTAAGTGCGACAAGTCACCCCTGCATCGAATGCTGAAGCCCCTTGAGAAACATTGAACAAGTTTTATTTTATTTTAAAACTCTGTAGGCACATGATAAATAGAAGTTAAAAGAGACTAAATAAAACAAACAAAAATAGATTCTCACATATTTTGAAATTATTTGAATTTCAATATTTTGAAATTATTTTTGAGTCCCTCATACAAATTACTTTTTTTTTCTGAGTAACTAAAACTATATAATTCTTTTAAACTTATTTTACATCCAATAATGTTGCAAATGGAATTTCAAAAATGAAAAAAAGAAGCGCCCTTTTCCCTCTGCTTATTTCTTATCTCTAGGAATGAACATTCTAACTTTTCTGTGGATTTTCCTCTTTACCTACCTTTTTCAGCATGTACTTTGGATTTCTCAGTCTGTTCCATTCGTGATGTCAATACTCAGACATCCTCAGAGTCCACCCAACTTTCACCAATACAATTCATTTTGCGACCTTTATACAAAATACAACAGTTGACGTTGTAAAACGCGGGGGCAGTTTAAATGTTTGTGTTGCTATGTTTGCCTCATAAAGCACCTAATCTTCAAACCAAAAACATTGACAGAACCAGCTATGGGTGTTTACGGACTGATGAGAAATTATCATAGAGTGAAAACCAAAAAGTATCAGTAAGAATCCATTTTTTCAGAATTAAAGGGAGAAGTGAAAAAGAAAAGAGAAGACAAGGCCAGAAAAAAAAAAAAAAAAGGATGAAAGGGGCGAGCTCTAGCAAATCCCTGGGGCTTTACAGCAGCCTCTGATTTGACGCACCTGGGAGAATCTCCTTAGCTTCTGTCTCCACATTTCTCTTTATACAACTTTGAATCCAAATGCAGTTGTAAGAAATATTTTTGTGGGAAAAATATCTTTATCTTATTGAGTTTTCTTTGCTAGTAACAGAAAAGACTGTTTCTAACAGAAAGATGAGCCAACACGAATGGCAAAATAAAACACCAGGAAATTCCTCCTTAGGAAGATATGATTACTGAAAGCACACAAACTAAATAAAACATACAGGCCAATCACTTTTTCATATTAACACTTTCGAAAAATTCTTAGCAATTATTATGTTAAATAATAAACCAGAGAATGTGCATTATTTGTATAAATGGCGCCATCTCTTGACAGAAGTCAGGGACTGCATGCATCTCTACTTAGAGCCTGTTAAGAGTTGCCCTAGTATTAGACAATCATTTAACCACTATTAATGTGGTTATGTACATTTGAAAACTTGGAAACTCAGCACCATAAACCAAAATTAGTCTTATACAGAGGCAAACTAAGACATTTCACGTGACATAAGGGAAGGGACCTGGGTATACATTTCCAACCACCATACACAAGATTTCAAGAACAGGGTCAGTCTCGTGATATATGAGAATTTACAACTTCAGGTATATTCTTTTAAATCCAGGTACTCCTGAGAAGAATAACAACCAACTTAACCCGTTTACACTTCCTTCCTTGCTTGTCTTGCTTCCCTTTATTCTTCCTAGCAATGTTTCACAAGCATTTGTGGTGCCCTTACGAAATACAGAGTTATATGATAGAGTGCCCAGTAGGCCCAGTTGTCAGTCGTTCACTGTTTAAGGGAGATTAATTCATTGTTCTACATTTAGGGCCAGACCATCAGAAGTGAGGCTAGTTCAGAGAGAGCAGGCCAGGATGGAGGTGCAAGATTAAAGACAGTAGGAAAATAGTTCCCCATGGATGGGTGGATGGGAAGAAAATCAAGGTAAAAGCAGCCTTCCAGGCCAGGTGCAGTGGCTCACACCTGTAATCCCACCACTGTGGGAGGCCGAGGTGGGTGGATTGCCTGAGCTTTCCAGACCAGCCTGAGCCAGAGGGAGACCCCACCTCTAAAAATAATCAGGCCTGTAGCAGGCACCTGTAGTCCCAGCTATTCAGGCGGCTGCGGCAAGAGAATCACTTGAGCCCAGGAGTTTAAGGTTGCTGTGAGCTATGATGCTGAGGGTGACAGAGTGAGACTGTCTCAACAACGACAACAACAAAAGTAAGCAAATAAGTAAATAAAAGCAGCCTTCCAAAGCTATGCTTTATCTACATCATAAGTTAACCCAGCCTCGGGCACAAGCGAAAATGCTTAGTGCTCTTTTGCTGTTTGCACTTCACTTCCTCTTTCCTCTTGGCCACGACCTTCTGGTACTTCTCCATAGGTCCTCTGTGTAAAACCGGGGGCAAAAAGATGGAAAGGAATGAAGCAAGGCAAGATCGGCTATTCTTTACTAGAGAAACAAAAAAGAAATGAAATCTTCTTAATTTTATGTGTTCAAACTCGTTTTACTCTTCCCTGACATTTAAAAACATTAAAATTATTTGCTCTTTATCACACTGACCTGGCCTTTCCCCATCTGTCTTATATGTTAAAATGAACTTTTCACCATTTTTTCCTTCTTTCTTTCTCTCTTCAGCTTTACAAACACTTCACTCTCACCTTTACTCTGTCAGTGAATAGAGTAAATCAGAATTCCATCTTCTTTGTCTTGTTAGGAAATCTTCTTTTGCCTATTGTCTTTGCTTGAAATCAAAGCCCAGAATTCTCTTCATAGTTATAACTTGTTTCTCCTTCTACAGCCCAATTTTCCTAACTTTTTAATTAGAAATAAATAGGAAATCTTCTACTTTTTGTTCTTCTCCTTTTCCCAGTCATTACAGTTGACATAAATTAATAGCAAGTGTACTTGGCAAAAGATTTTCAAATTCCTTCCTCTCCTCCACACATTCCACATAAACATACCCATAAAGGGGAATAATTAAATATCAAAAACAAATCTAGCAATAATGTGGAGAGTTGTGAATTATTAGTACCCATTACACATTACAAGTAGTGTAAACAACAAAAAAGTATTCATTGAAAGGGACAAATGAAAAAGATGAAAAAAAGAAGAGTGGATAGAAAAACCAACCAACCTTTTATCTGACCTTCCATTTGAATTCAGAGTATAAGCAACATTAAGAAGCAGTATAAAGTATCTAGAAAAATATGTGTGCCTAGGAGGTGTCAAAAATTTGTGCATATTTTTAAAAAGGAAAAACTGTATTAAATTTGTAAGACTTAATTCATGTTTGATTTCTCCAATTATGATAGGTATCAACATGACTTGTATTCATCTTTTGTTATCAGTATATATGGTGTATGACAATTTTAATATCGTTTTTTCCTGTCTTAAAATGCATATACATATTTTGGCACCTTCTATATTTATTTGGCCAAATACCAATTATACAGATAAATGTAGTTATTCCAGTATTTGCTATTAAAACTTTTAAAAAATTCATATATGTTTTAACAAAACTTTTCATTCTATTGAATGGGTATATATCTAAAGATATAAGAAAGGTCATCTTCTACTATTACTTTATAAAATTTTTCTTTTCAATTATTATGTGTAGATAGTAGTCATATATATTTATAGAGTACACGTGATGTTTTGATACAGGCATACAATCTAATCAAATCAGGGTAATTGGGGTATCCATCATCTCAGGCATTTATCATGTCTTTGTGTTAGGAATAGCCCAATTCTACTCTTTTAGTTATTTTTAAATTACATCTATATTTGTTTTTGAGTATAGTCACTTTGTTCATTCTATCTAACAATATTTTTGCACCCATTAACCATCCCTACTTCATCCTCTCTTCCCCACTACCCTCTCAGCCTCTGCTAACTGTCATCCTATCCTGTAGCTCCTTAAGATCAACTATTGTAATATTTAGCTTCCACAGATGGGTCACAACATTTGAGATTTGTCTTTCTGTGCTTGGCTTATTTCACTTAGCATAGTATTCTCTAGTTCCATCCATGTTGTTGCAAATGGCAGGATTTCATTCTTTTTTTATGAATATATAATATTCCATTGTATATATATACCTCAATTTCTTTTTGCATTCATTTGTTGAAGAACACTTAGGTTGATTCTAAATCTTGCGTGTTGTGAATAATGCTGCAATAAACATGGGAGTGCAGATATCTTTGTACTGATTTCCTTTCTTCTGAATATATACCCAGCCATATCATTGCTGGGTGATTGGGTAATTCCATTTTTAGTTTTTAGAGGAACCTCATTTTGAGTGTTCTCCATTGTGGTTGTGGTGATTTACATTCCCACCAATAGTGTATGCAAGTTCCCTTTTCTCCACAACTATTCAGATCGTTTACCCATTTTTAATCAGATTATTTGATTTTTTTTCCTGTTGAGTTGATGGATGTCCTTATGTATTTTAGTTACTAATACACTGTCAAATGGATAGTTCGCAAATATTTTCTCTCATTTATGAATTGTCTTTTCACTATGTTGATTGTTTTCTTTCTGGTATGGAAGGTTTTTAGTTTGATGTGATAATATTTGTCTAATCTTGCTTTGATTACCTGTGCTTTGGGGGTATTAATGGAGAAGTGTTTGTCCAGATCAATGTCTTGAAACATTTTACTCAATGCATTCTTTTGATGGTTTCATGGTGTCAAGTCTTAGATTTAAGGTTTTAATCCATTTTGAATTGGTTTTTGTATATGGTGAGAGCTAAGGATCTAGTTTCACTCTTCTGCATATGGATATTCAGTTTTCCTAGCACCATTTATTGAAGAAATTGTCTTTTTTCCACTATATATTCTTGGCACCTATGTTGAAGATATGTTTACAATAGATGTGTAGATGTATTTCTAGGCTATCTATTTTGTTCCATTGGTCTGTGTGTTTGTTTTTATGCCAATACTATGCTGTTTTGATGGCTATAGCTCTGGAGTATAATTTGAAGGCAGGTAATGTTATTCCCTGGTTTTGTTCCTTTTTCTGAGGATGGGTTTGGGTATTTTGGGGTCTTTTGAGGTTACATACAAATTTTAGAATTATCTTTTCAATTTCTGTGAAGAATGTCACTGCTATTTTGATGAGGATTGAATGGAATCTGTAGATTGCTTTAGGTAGTATTACTTAACCAAATTAACCAATATTTTAACGATATTGATTCTTCTAATCCATGAGCATGGAACAATTTTCTATTTTTTGTGTCTTCTTTAATTTCTTTCATTGGTGTTTTATAGTTTTCATAAAAGATATCTTTCACTTCTTTAGGTAAGCTTATTCCTATATATATCATTTCATTTGTAGCTATTGTAAATAGGATTAGTTTCTTGGTTTGTTTTTCAGATTTCCTGTTGGCATATAGAAATGCTACTGATTTTTGTATGTTGATTTTTGTCTCCTGCAACTTTATTGATTTTTTTTTAAGTTCTAATAATTTTT